GTGTGGGGAGCAGCCCAGCATCAGGAGGGGAGGCACTGATCCCTGCGGCTCTCTCTGGAGGCTCCAGGCATAGCTGGGCACCTTCTAAGGAATGTCCAGAAGCCAGAGTAAGTTGGGGGGAAGTGGGGAAGGGGAAAAAGGGGGTGGGGATAAAGGGGAGGAAAAAAAAGGGGAGGGGAAGGAAGGGAAAAGAAGCAGAGAGGAGGGGGAAGGGGAGGGGAGAGGAGCAGGGAAGAGGAGGGAACGGGAAAGTGAAAAACAAGTAAAAGGCAAGGGAAAAAAGAAAAGGGAAAACTGAAGGAATGAAAAGGAAAGGCCCAAGATTCAATCCAAGATGGTGAACTGAGAGGGTCCGGTCGTCAGTGACTGCGCACAGGGCTTGAGAGGAGAAATTAAGCGTTCTCCTGTCAGTGGGATGCTGTACAAAGACAGAGACTAAAGAAGATGCACACTTAACGTCCACCCAGAGGTGCTTACTGAACCGATGGATGTGGGATCTGAAAGCGTCTGCGCATGCTGGCCCGGCCCAGGCTGAGAGCTAGGCCTCTCAGCACATCTCTTACCCAGAACACCTGCCCTTCTCCCCCTGCCCCACCCTTTGCCCCTCACCCTTCACAGCCTGGCACAAACCTGCCTCTGAATGTCCCCTCTGAACTCTGACAGAACTGACAGGACCTGGCCCACTCCCCAGCACACAATCCCACCCAACCTCCCTTAGGTCCAGGCCCGGCGCTATTGCTGCTCCCCTGACCTCTGACCCCTGGCTGTGAGCACCCACTGGCTTGGGCTCCTTCCTGACCAGAAGGCGAGCTCCCATAGGGTAGGCAGCAACGCCCAGCCTAGTGCCCTGTGCCCAGCGGAAGGTCGGCAGGCCCTACACAGGCCAGGAGCGGCCTGGAATGACCGATGCAGTAACAAAGGCTGGCCGATGCCTTTGCTGGTAGATGGGAATTTCAAGGAAGATCTTGAAAAGTTAAATGACAGAATCTAATAGAGGGAACCAAAGTGAAAGACAGCACTGCTCAACCAATTTTACAAACAGTTAAGGTTTTCACACATCATTTTCATTAGCTTACAAAGAGCTTCTAGCATGAAGTGGCCTCCAGCACATTATAATTCTTAGCATTTTCTGACAGCTGTTCCTCTTCAGGATAAGAGGACCCAAACGCCTCACATTTGCTCCATAGGAGCTGCCAGGAAATAGCCTTCCCTGAAATCACAGGAACCGTGTGCACAGCCTCGGTTCAGAATCTGCTCAGGTGTTTTCACTCGGGCCTGTGCCTGAATAGCCATCGTGCCTTTTGCTTTCCTCCACACAAGGGCTCCTGCACCTCCTGCCAGGCCGAGCGCTGGCAGCCAGGACATCCTGTGCTGCACCAGGAAATCAGAATCTGCTGCGCTTCCTCCAGGCTTGAAGAGCCCATCAAGACATGGTCGTCCAGCCAAAACCGGTTTGGCTCAGTGGATAGAGCGTCAGCCTGTGGACTGAAGGGTCCTGGGTTCGATTCCGGTCAAGGGCATGTACCTCGGTTGCGGGCACATCCCCAGTAGGGGGTGTGCAAGAGGCAGCTGATGGATGATTCTCTCTCATCGATGTTTCTAACTCTCTATCTCTCTCTCTTCCTCTCTGTAAAAAATCAATAAAATATATTTAAAAAAAAAAAAAGACATGGTTGTCCAGGAGAATGCAAACTCCTGTCTGTGACTAACCCACAAGGAACACCCAGTTTCTACGCAAACAGAAGCTGCAGGTTCATCTAGTCCAGGGGTCGGCAAACTCAGTCAACAGAGCCAAATATCAACAGTACAATGATTGAAATTTCTTTTGAGAGCCACATTTTTTTAAACTTAAAACTTCTTCAAAATAGACTTGCCCAGGCCATGGTACTTTGTGGAAGAGCCACACTCAAGGGGCCAAAGAGCAGCATGTGGCTCGCGAACTGCAGTTTGCAGACCACAGATCTAGTCAGTTCCAAATGGGCTTAAGGAAAAGTGATGAGGTGACCCCCAAAATAGAGCCATTCAGGACACACACCTAACAAAAACGTATGCATTTCATTCACTTGAGAAATATGTATTGAATGCCGATGTGCCTCGCTGAACAAATCCATAAAACTTCCTGCCCCGTGGAGCCTCCGTGTGTGTGGAGGAAACGATGACAAAAAAGTAAGATACATTCCCTATCAGATGGCGGTGAGGACCTTGAGGAAACATAAAGCAGGGGGAGGGTCATGGGCGCTCCGGAGGAGGAATGGGATGCCGCCCCAAGGAGGTGGCATCTGAACTCAGGTCTAAGGTGGTGAGGGAACAAGCCATGGCGATATCTGTGGGAGGAGCGGGGAGAGTGGGGGGCGTGAGGGAGAGCAGGGTGGGAGGTGAGCTGAGATCACAGCTTTAAAGAGGACTTGAGGCCAAAACCGGTTTGGCTCAGTGGATAGAGCGTCGGCCTGCGGACTGAAAGGTCCCAGGTTCGATTCCGGTCAAGGGCATGTACCTTGGTTGCGGGCACATCCCCGGTGGGGGGTGTATAAGAGGCAGCTGATGGATGATTCTCTCTCATCGATGTTTCTAACTCTCTATCCCTCTCTCTTCTTCTCTGTAAAGAATCAATAAAATATATTTTAAAAAAAGAGGACTTGCCGCCCAGAGGGGCACTTACAAGGACATAGGGACGTGGAAACCAAGACTGTGAGACTAGACCAGGAAGGACCCAGGTATGCTGCCACTCCGAGCCCCAGGAAGGATAATGAAGCGGCCACACAGAATGTGGTCAATGGCCATCGGGGCCAGTCTGCACCCTGGATGGTCCTAACCCCTCAGTCTGTAGGTGAGGACTGGCCACCTGGGCAGGGAGGGGCTTCCCCAAGGCTCCCGGAGAGGTGGAAACAGTTAGAAATTCTAGTCGGCTGCACCTGGATGGCCTTTCGGACTCATAATGAAGCCTGCTTGCTCTTTCCCAGGACAGCCCTTCAGAAGCAGGGTGCAGGCCCAGTTCCCTCACGAGTGGCTCTCGGGATCCCTCAGCTGCCCTCCGGCCACCCTCCTCTGACACCGCTCCGGTCTGTCCGTGCCTCAGGGTATTCTGCTTGCAGTGGCATCAGACATGCATCTCCCTCCTCTGAAGCCACTCAGTGCCCGAGGTCCCACCACAGCTCAAGATCCAGGTAAGTCTCCCCAGCGCTTCTGCGTCTGAGGCGAACTTCTTCGGGCACACCCGAAGCTACTGGAGTCCACTCGAGAGCAGTCCTGGGAAATGCTGGGCCGATCAAAGTTAAACGTATTGTTACTTCAGTCCTTACAGGAGCTTTAGGTTTGCTGATACGCACTTGACCCTCCAAGAGGAAAAGCACGAAGGACACCTGATACTTGCGCCCCTCCGCACCAGGCACTGCGATTCTTCCCACAGGATCTCCCTCGGTCCTCACCCTGCCCTGATCCCCACTTTCTAAACAAAGCGGCTCAGGGGAGGTAGGCCGATCGCCCACAGTCTCTGTTGGGAGTTTGGAGGCAGGTAGGCAGTACTAGATGCTATCATGGCCAAAGAACGGAGAGAAAGCCCAGTGACCCCTGCTCCTGGGGAGGTTCTGAGACATTCCTGCACACCAGGGCGAGGGCAGGTGGGGAAGCCAAGGACCACTTTGTTATTAGTTGGGCTGCAACACGGAACTCTAGCAAACCAGGCTGGGGGAAGCAGCTGAGGCCCAATCTCCACAGGCCCTCTCAGCCAGCCCAAGGAGGCGTGAGGGGTGAAGGAGAGAGAAGAAAGTGGTGCCCCTCTCCCAGGACCCTCACCCTTTTCCTCCACAATCAGGCTCCAGAACGCACGTTCACCCCTCGGCAGGAACCCCCACACTAGGTGCACGGCTGCCTCACTGGGATGGATAACCAAACACCGGTTACAAACGAGTTTCCTGACTGGGTTTCCATCAGACAACGTTATGAAGTTCCAGCCTCAAAAGCCGACTGTGTTTTATGAAACTGCTATGAAAGAGCAGGGGAGAACATTAAAGACCTTGCCTGGTAATGAATAAAAAGTACAGAACAAAGGAATCCATACTGAATACGGCTTTTACTACATTTGTCACATTTCACTTTGAGAGGAAAAAAAGAAAGAAAGAAGGAACTTTGAAGAGTCTCTGTAAAAGACTGCACACTGACCTCAGAGTTTCAAAACATGAATGAGCGAATGCATAAATGAGGACTGTCCGTCTGGATCTTCCGTTTTGATCTTGTCTGGCCCTGCCTCCCGTGGACCTCAGCTGAGATGCGCTGCGTACCAATTACCAGAAATTCACACCAGCCCTTCCCACCCAGCGCCACTGCACCCAGACCACCGCACCATCCGGTCACAAATCTAATGAGTCACAGCTCTGCCTGACCCAGAGTCCAAACTCCTATTCTCTATATTACCTACAAAGTGGACCCGAGACTGTCCTCTCACGAGTCCAGCCATGTGCCTCCAGCCTCGGGACAGCAAGGCCCAGGCCCAGAGGCTCAGGGTTGATGGCATCCATGATGCCAGGAAAACGGCAAGGCCATCCCCACCTCTGTTCATCCCCAGTTGGCACTGTCATTCTTTTTACAACGGCAAGAGTCGCACTGGTCTTCTAGAAGGTGATCCCAGGGCAGGGGGGCTCAGGCCCAAAGTCCTACATTTTCGGGGAATTTACAACATTTTGTATCTTGGTTAATTCATCTGATGGCTTGGAATATTTTCCTGTGTTTTTGTTGTTGTTGTTGTTGTTGTTGTTTTGGTAAAATTAGGTATCACCGGAAATATACAACTGAGATGTATAGATCAATAGGTGTTCAGTGAACATCCATGTATCTGTAGTCCCTTCTTAGCAATTGTAAATCAGTGGATTAGCTGTAGTGATGAACTGTGGAATATGAGTAAGTACTCAGTTTACATATAAGTATTACCGTAGCTGTACAGTGTTCAGAGAACAGCAATCAGATGGGGCTCATTCATACTAAAGTGCAAAGTGACAGGCAAGTGGTTCCATGGTAGGATTATTTGCATTCGGTTTTACAGGAGTTTATGACACATAATTGTAGCTCTGCCCACTCTCACAATTTCATTTCCTCTTTTCTGAACCCACAGAGTTGCTAAAAGCTACAAGCTAGTTCATAACCGTTCCTTGGCAGCCAGCGTAATGACCTCTGTGGTCCCTGCACTCTCATGAAAAGGGAGGCTGTGCAAGAGCTGGGCATGCCTGCCAGGTCTCAGCAGACACTAAAGCTCACTTTCTGTATGTGTTCATGCTTGGTACACATAAGCATGTATGCACACACATACAAGATTAGCTGCTGATTGAGGCCAGGGAGACAGCCTGTCCATAATTCCTGCCTCAGCAGACTTTCAAAAAAGGTTTGCCGCTGGACCCCAACATCTCCCCTGAGATCCACTCCCTCTCTCAGACACATCACTCTCCTAAAGCATGGATCTGGTCAGGTTCCTCCCTGCCCAAAATGCCTTGTCTCCTGGGTCTGCCGGTGGCCCTCAGCCTGGCATCCAGGCTTGCACAGTACATGCTAACCTCCCTGACCATCTTCTCTCCCACTGCTTCCCAGCATGTGCCCTCCTCCGTCTGCTATTTCCCAAACAGACACACACTTCCCAACTGCCCAACTGCACACAACGCAACTTTACCCACCCTCCAAAGCTCCAGTGTCACCTCCTCCACAAAGCCCTCCTCCTTCTTGCCAAATGCCTGTAACTCATCCTCTTCTGAAACCCTCAGCATTGTGTGGCTTCTCTTGGGACCTTCATGACACCCTGCCTAACTGCTAGACCATGCCACACACCCCCCCACCTTGAGTCCATGAAGCAGCAACCCAGCAGGCATCCCTGAGATACCAGAATGGCCAGCACCATGTTACACAGACACCAGACGCCTGGCTGAGGATGTCTGTGGGCAAAAGGGAGCCTACAGGAGCGTCTCCAGGGGCTTCTGGTAAGCTTTACACACTGCCGACTGTCCGGGCCCCTGCCCCCCCTGCCCTCCCTGCCTCCCTGCCCAGGGAAAACCCGTCACAATTGTATGCCAGGCACCGTGGCTCCGTCTTGATAAGGGCTGTTTTGATGGCCGTGTCAGTAATCCAGAGCCAGCTCCTCGGAGCCGTGCACACAGGGGAGGGAAGCTGCAGTCCCTGCGGAGCTGCTGTTCACTCGCTCCGGCTCCAGTTGGGCAAAAATGTTTTCTTTTCCATTGCGTAAGATGCTTCCAACGGTGACAAACTAACACCAGCGGCAGGAGGAGATAAAAGCCTGTGGGTGTGAGTGAGGAGCCGAGAGTGGCTGCGTGTCTGTGAAGGACACAGGGATGGGCACGTGTGAGCCGCAGGACCAGCCGGCCACACGTGACCCTTCCAACAAGCGACGGAAAGAAAAGCAAGCGCTGACCAAAGCAGAGCCAGCGTGCAGCGCCCTCTCTGCAGACATGGTCTGGGTGGCGCTGCTTGGAAGGGACTTAGGGCTGCAGTGAGGGGCCAAGAAGGAGAGAAGAGAGGAGGAGAGGAGAGAGATTTTGTTAGCTTTGAGGCACTGTGTGGGTGTGAGAGGCTGGGCATTCAGGTCTGGCCATCAGAATAAGCCTGGGCCAAGGCGTCCGAAACCCAGACAGGAGGCCCAGCTCTCCCTAAAGCCAGGAGAAATGGCCCGCCTCTCCTGGCACGTGGAACAGCAACTGTCCTGAGCTCATCTGCGGCTGCCTGAGGCCCCCCAAGAGGTCAAACACGAGTGGGCCTTACCTCACTCCTGCAGGCTGGGGAGGTGGGGAGTTGACATAGGCAGCTTTGTAAGTATCACCTCTAGCCCAGTAATTCCACCTATGTGGAGTTATCTATACTAATAAAAGGGTAATATGCTAATTAGACTGGATGTCTTCCAGACCTCCTTCCTGACAAAGCTGGGGGCTTGGCCGGCCCTACCCACAGCGGGAACCCCCCACCCTGATCGGGGACCCCCTTCAAGGCAAGCGAGCCAGCCCCCACCCGTGCACCAGGCCTCTATCCTACATAATAAAAGGGTAATATGCAAATTGACCCTAATGGCAGAATGACCAGAATAACTGTTGGACCAGTCACTATGACACGCTCTGACCACCTCTTGGGTTTCTTTCCCCGGCCGGGAGGCTCCAGTCGCCTGATGACCACCTGCTGCAGGGGTGAGGCAGGAACAGTCAACCCCTCAGTCCCTTCCCCCCTCCCCCAAGCACGAATCAGTTGGTGGCGAACTGGGAATTGGGGTGGTGGTGGCGAGGGGGCGGGGGGGGGGGGGCCGGCTGCAGGCAACTGGGGAAGATGGCCTTGATCACAGGCCAGGCCTAGGGACTGTACCCACACACAAATTTCATTTCAGCATCTCCAGTCCTATATAGTAAAAGGATAATATGCAAATTGTCCCCTCGACCGGGAGTTCAGCCAGGAGTTCAGCCAGGGGGTGGGGCTGGCCGGCCACCTGCCCACACTCCCAATTGCACCCCCACCCTGATCGGGAGGGGCCCCACCCATGCACGAATTTGTGTAATGGGCCTCTAGTAAGGAAATAATCCTAACTAGAAAATACAATCTTTACACATGTGGATATTCATCACGGTATAATTTATGATCATAGAAAAAAAAAGTAGAACTATCTAGGGAGCCAAGAACAGGGGAATGATAAAAACGAACTCAGTGAAACCATTCAAAAAATGCTCAAAGCTGATTACACACAAACTGGTGATGAGCAACATGAACTGAAAACGTCACGAGACACAGCTTTACTGCTGTCCTTTCATATTTTATTTTAAATTATGGTTCAATTGTATACTTTGATATGTTAAAAGCACTCTGAATGCTTTAAATATAGAAGATACCTCCTACTTGGCCTAAATTATTCAAAAGCTACATGTTGGGGAAATATAAGATAATCAAGAATAGTGATGTTTATGTAGCAATAAAGGGATAACGTTTTTTCTATTTTAATGTCGTTTTCAGATTTTCTCTTGTGAATGAGTGTTGCTTTTAGAACCCGTTTAAAGGTAGTCTGAGTCAGAAGGGCAATGCTGATGCTGTGGGGGGTCGGGGAAGGGGAGGCGGGGACACAGAGAAGTAACCTGGGTTTCTGGGGCAGACGCCAGACGGGCCCTCCTAAGACATAACTCAGAGCGTTTCTGACTCAGCCGTCCTGGGTGGGACCAAGCGCTTAGGACCCACCGTGCTCCATTCTCGCTTTCCAGGAGAAAACGAACACTGTGAACCAAAATAGCACCAATTACACGGGAGCAAATTCATCCACAAAGCCCAAAACAACAGCAACTTCTATGACTTAAAATAATGGGTACAAAAAAGGCAGCAATAAAGAGCCGCGACAAAATTGAGGCGGCACTCGGTGGGGGAAAACAAAGCGTCCCCGGGCACACTGCAGGAACTCCGAAGGCCGGCCCAGGAGGTCCCCATGCGGCCACGTGCCAGCCAGACGGCGCGGCAGAACCCCGCCCGCGGCAGCTCCCGGCTGCTCGTTTCATGCTATGAATGCCGGGTTTTAGTAAGTCCTAACAGCTCTCTTCTTAGGAAGCACACTTGGGGCCGCTGTAGAAATGAAGCTCTGCCAGCACATTATCATTCGTCTGGAGAACCCCAGGGAAGACTGGCATTTGGGTCTGCCCGCTGCCCACCTCACCCAGCTCCTTCCTCGCCATCTGCGGTTCAGAGGCATGGACCACACTTGAGGGACACCAAGGATCTGATCTACTGCATGCCAGCAAAGCTCTGGCCAGGCCTTGTCCCTGCAGACATCCCTCCCGGGCATGGCCAGGCGAGCCCAAGCCCAAGCCCGGCAGGACAGCCAGAGAGACAGGGTCAGCCGCCTGGGCCCCCTAACCCTTGTCACCCACACTTGACAATTCACTGCCTGGCCCTCCCTGACACAGTGAGGCAGAAATATCTTCTCACCCCAATAATCCACAAGGAGGATTATCTATGTCCCCTCCCTCTGGTGCTTCAAAGCATAAGCTGGCCTGGAGTCTAGCATCCGGGAGGGAGGAAAGGAAGGTCAGGCCTCCTCCCAGGCTTCTGCTAACGCCTGTCAGCTCTTCCGTCACAGCGTTTCCTTCCAAGCCAATCACGCATGTGGGACAACAGGGCTGGTCAGGCTGTAAGGGCCCATCTAGTCGACGCTTTTAAACTAGATTAACCGTGGAACACGAATCCTGCTCCACAGCCTGGTCTACACAGCAATCCGTGGGCTCCTAGGGGTGAAGGTGGGGGCAGGAGAGGTGGGGGGGGGGGGTAGAACTGCTCTTCCCTTGGCTCCCCAAACTGCAGAACCCCCAAGGAGCTTTCTATGGCCCTGGACTCTCCCAGTCAAAGCGGCTCACTAGATCAGCCTCATCACTCACAGGTGGGGAAACTGCGGCTACATAGGCAAACTGGCTCAGCGAAAGGCACACAGCATTGAGGGGCAGAACTGGAACCAGCACCTGTCTGTCTTCCCCCCCCTAGAACCCAGGAGGGCAGGAGCACCCCTTCCTCCAGCCTGAGCACCTGCAGAGAGAGGCAGCCCTGCAGCCGGCCTGAGGGGGTGGAACTAACTGCTACTCACAGAATCAGGCCTCCATGTCAGGCGGCTCTGCCACTGACATGGCTGTATGACCCTGGGCAGGCCACTCAAGTCCTCAGTTTCTCTCATCTGGGACCTGGAAGGGGGGGGGGGGGTGAGAGGACCAGAGCTGGCAGAGCCACACCAGGTTTCTGTGAAGAAACACAAATGCTTGCTCTTCTCCCCGTGCCCTTGTGGTGAGCTCGTCTCCTCTGTCCTTGGGCCCCTACCCGGAAGCTCCTGAGCCCTCGCATTGCAGCTAAGAGAACATCCGGGGGCCTCCGTGCTGCAGGAGCCTGCCTCGTGGAGAGAAAGTCTCGAAGTCTCTGTGGTGTGACAACTCGCCACCAAAGCCCAGCTTCAACCTCCAACTCCTCAATTCCTCGCTCACCAGGGCCCTTCCAACCCCTTTCAGGGTGGTCTGCGAGGCAGAGCTGCAGGCCTCCCCCAGGGCAATGACCCCAAAACTCCCCTCCTCACCCCTAAAAGGCTCAGGCCGTGCGGTTCACCATGGCCAGATGGTGGGCCATCTCTAGGGCTCCAGAATCAACCAAGGACCAGCTGGAGGAGAAGAATCCAGAAGCCTGGGACACCCCTCGAGTGAGGACACCCCCAAGGCTTCCAATCCAAGGATGAACAAACCTGCCAGCACTCCCACACAAGGTGGGCCTCCCACACACCCCATCTCTTCTGCCCTGGAGGGACCAAAACCTAGCAGATCCTTTAACTGGGTATCAGAGTTTCCAAAGAAGTCCTATTCAGTCGTAATCTGCGCCTCTCACATCTAGATATATTTTTAAGACAGATGAGTACTGATTCAAACTAGCAAGAACAGGATCACAGATCTGGGTGGAGGGTCACCAAGTCCTTCCTGCCCTTTATCAGATGAACAGAGTCGCGGGGGCTGGTCGCATGCGAGGGGCAGGGAGCCCAGCTGCCCTGGACCCCATGCACCACTCATACCGTGGGAGCTCCGCAACCTGGGCTCCGCCCCCCTGATTCTCTGTGCAGGAGGCTGTCACACAGAGGGTACTGCTGGCCCCTCGCCTTCTCTTTGTGTTTTAGCGGAGCTCCTCCAATCCAGGGAAACATCAACACGAGGGGCTCGCAGCCCAGGTTACCTTTGGGCATGATCTGATGCATGGCGACCGAGAGGAAGAAGATGGAGTCGCTGTAGTAGGTCCCGGAGCCAGCGCTGAAGTGCTTCTGCATGGCCTCCACGATGGGGAAGAGCTTGTCCGTCAGCACGGCGACGTCGTGGAAGACGACCTGCAGGTGGGCGGAGGAAAGCGCGGATGAGCACACCGGCTCCGGCGCCCAGCTCACACGTGGACCCACCGCGGGGACAGACGGTGCCTCTCCCCGGGCACTGGCGGGGGTCCCAGGTGAGAGGTAAGGTACTGCCGATGGGAAATGAGCAGGAGCTGGCCTCGGGGACGGGGACATCATGCGTGAAGGGTGGGCAGGCACACACGTGGGGGTGGGGGGTGGAAGAGGTGTGGAACGGGGCCAGGAATGGGAGCAGCCCCCAGGCTGCTTCCGGTTTCTGGACTTCAAGGTGGGCCCAATGACTGGAAACCTGAAGGCAGCACTGTGCCCAGTGACTGGACACCATGTGGAACTGTCTAGTCCTGAAATTAGGACCCTCAGCACATTGGAGCAGCTGGCCCTGGTGGCCACTACACATCCACAGGCCAGTCAGGTGCTCCACTTCCCTGTCCCACAGGGTGAACAGAGGCAGGGGCCCTGGAACATGCCTAAAGCCACAGGAGATGCACCCACTGGCCCAATCAGCACTTCGCGCATGTCCTGGCGTTTTGGAGGCGCTGTGAGAGGTATAAGGACTAACCCCAGAACACTCAGGATCCACCGGAATCCTGCAGTTTATTCTCACGTACACACACCGATCCCCACGACCACCTGGGGCCTCAGTGAGGCGACATCCCTGTTACAGATCCCAACTGCAAATGAGCGAGCAGATGCTCAGAGAGGCTACACTTGCCGAGGGTCATCTCACTCACAAGTAGCAGAGCCAGAACCTGCACACCGGTCCCATTTCCAAGACCCGGCTCTTCCCACCGTAAATGCTCCTTCTTTCCTCAACAGCAACCCAACGGGGAGGAAGACATCAGCAGAACCAGTGATTAGAGCAGTGTTTCCCAACCTTCTCTCATGATGAGAATCACCTGGTGGAGTTGTTAAAACAGATTCCCGGATCCCAACTAAGAAGTGCTAAACTAGAATTTTTGAGAACATATAGGTAAAATTGCATACCTAACTTAGTGCTCTGTATATAAAATCTGTCTTAGAGCACTAGTTAAGTATACAATTTTACCTATATGTTCCCAAAAATTCTAGTTTAGCACTTCTTAGTTGGGATCCGGGAATCTGTGTTTTAACAACTCCACCAGGTGATTCTCATCATGAGAGAAGGTTGGGAAACACTGGATTAGAGTGAACAACGTGCCAATAAGACCCTACTGAGCTGGTTTCCTGATTAGACGTTAATCCATATCTAAGTCCATTCCTCACGGAGCCCCAGCCCCATTCAAGATACCAAGGACCCATGCCCTCTGCTCACACATTTCTTGTAAGTTTTCCCTGCGGCCCCATGCTCCCCACAACGTCTAGAGCACCCCACGGGGCACAAGTCAGAAGCCCAGAAATTCTCCCTCCCCTTAACCCCCCACCAGAGATCTGCTGATGACCCTTCCACCCCTCTTCCCGGGCAGCCAACAGAGCAGGACAAGCCTGGAGGCTGCCGCATGCTGCTCAGCCACCACCACAGCGACGCCAGGGCCACGGTCATACCTGAGCAGCACACCATCGGTCACATGGGGACACGGTCATTCGCATCCCCCGACCGCGTGCTCCCATTGTCCGGCCGTGCCAGCAGGAGAAAGCGCGGGTGAGGGTGGTGCCCGAGAGGTTCTCAGGCAGGCAGGGTGCATTTTGCCATTCACCCTGCCCAGGTCCCTTCCTGGCCCGGCCCCACGGCGCCACCTGCCCGCCCGCACTCCCCGGGCTGCGGGGTCGAGCCTCTCGGAGCCCTGCCGTGGTGTAAGCCACCCTGCCTGCTTTTCCCTACGTTAGGTCCTGCTTTTGGCCAGAAACCTGTGTGGATCTGAACTCACTTCCGTATTTTTCGGACCATAAGACGCACTTTTTCCCCCCCAGAAGTGGGGGGGGAAAAGTCCCTGCGTCTTATGGTCCAAATATAGCCTACACATATACTTTTAAAAAAAAGTTTTTTTATTTGCCCGGCTCTTTGAGGTCTCTGTGTGCTTGCCCGGCTCTAAAATGGTTCTAAATGCTGCTGTTTACTTTACAGGGTTGATTACATGTGTTTATGACTGTGATGTTGGGTTTTAATGCACATAAAATATTTTAGGACACTATTTGTTTCAGAATCTTTTTTTCTTCATTTCCCTTCTCTAAAAACTGGTGCGTCTTATGGTCCGGTGCGTCTTATGGTCCGAAAAATACGGTAAATGTTTGCTTTTGTCCTTAGGTCTACTTACATTTCTAAAATACTATTAAACTCAGAGAAACATATATGGCTTTAGTCCTCATCATTCCCTTTAAGTCTTTTATGTCTTTAGAAAAGTCTTTTTTAAATGCCTTGACATTTCCAAGGTACTACTTTCCTTTACCCTTTTCCTGACTGCTTTTTTTCTTACACTTTGACTTTTTTTGTTTTTGTGACCTTGTAACCTGAGATGGGGATTCAGGCCAGCTCCACAGTCTCCCAGCAGATACCAAATCATATCTTTCTCCTCCCACCCACCAGGACCTGCCTGCACCCCCGTGACTTCCTGACTACACTGGCATCACAAACCTGACAGGTGTCCCCTGCCGTGCCCCCTCCAACCGCTTCCGGTGTGCCTCTCGAGTAATCTATCCATACCAACGCACTTCTCTCTTTCCTTGGCCTCACATCCCCCATGGCTCCTCGCGGCCCTCGGGTGTAGTCCTAATTGCCCAGCTCGGCCCATGAGGCCCTGCACTAGCGGCTCTGGCTAACCACCCTTCCCACCCTCCCTCCTCCAGGGATGGGGCAGAACTAAATGCAGCCGTCCTCACCCCACCCGCCACGGCGCGGTGTCCTATGTCCTTGCATATTTGTACTAGCTCTTGGAACTCTCCGGAGCCCCCTCTCCCAGCCCTACCCCTTCCTGCCAGCCCCCATCCGCCTGAAAAACTCCTATCCAGTCTTCCAACCTTGCTTGGACACCTACCCCAGCCTTTGCACAAACTCCCACGACTCATCACGCCCTCCTGTGCACCCTGTACCCACAGGGGGAGGCTCCGCCTCCCTGGCTGGCTCCTCTGCAGGTCTGCTTCTCCGTCCCCGTATGGGCACCCCGTGAGGCCAGACGCTGTGACTGCTTTGTGCCCTGTGCCCGGCCCGTGGCCCGGTGGCAGGCCACGAATCAGCACACGTTTGCTGAACTAAATGAACCACACTTTGGGCAACTTTCTAAACCTCTCTGAGCCTCAAGTACAGAAATGAGAACACCTACCTCCTATGGTGGCTGTTAGGGCCACCTGGAACGGGCAGAGAGAGCACCGGATCATGCTGTCCTTATTAGCCCTGAGTGTTGGCATCCTGCCCCCACCTCCCTCCACCGTCCCTGGATCCCTCTCCTCGCAGATCAGTCTTCACTCACGAGCCAGCTTTTCCCTGTGAGCCTCATTACACTTCCAAACCACGGCTGGGACCTAGAATTTTACAAGAAACTGGAGCTGACAAGAGGGCTCTCACAGAATTGGAAGCCTCTGCACTCATTAAAAAAGGAGAATGGATGTGTATAAACACACACACACACACACACACACACACACACAGCAGGGCCTGCCACAACAAAGACAGGGAGTCAAAGATTTCAGCAGCCAGATTCCCCCCTACAAGCCCCCATCTCGCCCAAAGTTTCAGGAGACAATTATGTCCCATCAGCATTAATGGATTGATGAGGACAAACTGTACTTAGTACGTTGTTCCAAATGCTGGTACGGTAAAGCCCGCTCCGATGAATATTTCACATAATAAATCTACTTAAAGTAAATTAATATGTTCCACAGAGTACACGTTCTGCAGCAAGAAGCAAAACAGACACTGCAAGTGTGAATCACAACACCCAGGCCTCCCCGTGTCCAAAAGAGGATGCAAACCGTGATCTCCCGAGGGCCAGGCCGGGGGCTGGCACTCCGAGGCCGCTGCCTGCCCAGGGTCTAGTGCCAGGAAGGAGCAAAGAAGCAAGAGCAATGGGAAGAGAGAAAAACAGAGGGAGAGGGGCAGAGAGAATGCCACCCTCCCTCCGTTCCGCCTCCCTTTCAAGTCCCTCACATCAGAGGCGGCAAAAAGAATTACCATGTAACCTAAAAAAACCAGGAATATAAGATGACTCCCATAATGAAGGCAAGTGGCCAATGAGACCCAAAAGAGTGATTTGCACCAGGGGTCCTCAAACTTTTTAAAGTGGGGGCCAGATCACGGTCCCTCAGAGAGCTGGAGGGCCGGACTATATGAACTACTAATTCCTACTGTAACACCTCGGCTGCGCTCACTGCCCAAAAAACCTGGCGGGCCGGATCAGACTCCTCTGCGGGCCGCATGTGGCCCGCGGGCCGTAGTTTGAAGACGCCTGAGCTAGACTATATGATTTTTTTAAAAAGAATATTTAGCCTGGCCGGTGTGGCTCAGCGGTTGACCCAGGAATTAAGAGATCACTGATTCAATTCCAGGTCAGGGCATATGCCAGGGCTGCGGGCTCGATCCACAGTACGGGTACATGCAGGAGACAGCCATGCTGCTCCTCTCTCAGCCCTGTTTCTAGCTCTCTATCCCTCTCCCTTCCTCTCTTTAAAAAGCAATAAAAACATATTTTAAAAGAAAAAGAAGAGTTTACTTATTTGAGAGAGAGGGAGAGGAAGGGAGAAGTACCAGGAGAGAGAAACATCAATGAGAGTACATCGATCAGCTGCCTCCGATACCCACCCCTTACAGGGGATCAAGCCACAACCTGGGAATGTGCCCTTGACCAGGAATCGAACTGGCAGCCCCTGGTGCACAGGATGACTGCGAGCCAACTGAGCCACACCGGCCAGGGTTAAACTACGTGATCGTTTATTTACAGGCTGTGTGATCGTTAGGAAAATGGATTAAAAAGTCAAACCACTATTTGTAATATATATATATATATATATATATATATATATATATATATATAAGGCTCAGGGAAATGAAAATATTAATCATAAAATATTAT